TATATATATATATATATATATATATATATTTATAAAGGGGAATATTATAAAAAGATGGCCTAACATGTTTCACATTCAAAGGTCCGATATTGATCATGCATAGGTTTATGATCTTTCTTCGTTAGTACTAACCTCTTACTTTTTTATTTCTCAATGAGGGAAGTCCAATCAATTAAATGACAACTTTAACGTGAAACCTTTTAGATGTTTAATGATATTCCTATTGAATTTTGTTTCACCCTTTCTCAGTAGCATTACTGCTTTAGAGTTTAATTCCATATTGCATCCCACTAACGACAACGTCAATAAACAAAAGGATCACCGCATAAATTGCTTCGTTTTTCGTCTACTCCCATGCAGTCACGCGCGGATTTTGATCTGATTAATTCCATCCCCACCGAAAACCATTCCAATTCAACGCAAGTTCCATTGGAGGGTCGTAATGAACTCTTCGCATCCCTACACAAAAATCAGATGGATGATTCCATCCTACACCACGAAATAACCCGGCGTGAAGGCAAAAAGAATACCCCCGGCGGCGATGCCATTTCCGACCGTCTCGCACAACTTTCCAAGGCCCCGTTGGAGGTAAAGCAATGGATTAACGCCGCGCTGGTTTGTCTAGACAAAAGCGAGAACTCCCCAAGTGAAAAAAATCCTAATTTATCCGAAGAGGACCCATCCCAAAACAAAAAAGGGGAACTGTTAAATGTTATAATTCGCAGTGAAGTGTTGGTGGAGCGGCTTATCACGCAAGTGCAGTCTCACACCCAAAACGTTGGAAGGTCGGTGGAAGAGTTGATCGCACAAACCGCCAGGAGACTCCCACGTTCTGTTCTCGAACTTTCCCGAATGCTCAACGAGGCTCACGAAATCACCAACGTCTTAAAAGGCCTTCAAGAAAGACTAAAACCCTCCAAAAATGATTTTTCCACGCAATCACCCCCCGCCGCGAGGGGAGAGGCGTACATCCAACGTCTGAACGAACTCAAGGAAACCGAAAAACGACTTAAACAATGTTTAAAAGTGCTTTCAACGGCCGCCGTCGTTAACAGAAACATGGAAAAGATAAACAAAGCGGTGAGCCGATCGGCACTGGAGGATTTTTCTGACGCCCCTTCTGGTGCCACGGGGAATGAATTGAGAAAACCCCACACCGCCCTCACGAAAGTAATTAATCTTATTCAGCACGTTCAACACGATTTGCAATATTTGCGAAAAGTGGACCCGACCTACGGCGAAAAATATCGAGTGGTACTCGAGCAGTACGAACAAACGCTTGAAAAAATGCTCGAGCAGGAATGTGTTGAGCGTCTGGTGGGGCATCAAGCAGAAAGTGCGGTGGAATTCTTTCAGCCTTTGAAGATGATTGGCCGAATGGATGTGGTGCTTTCCAATTATGCAAAGCGAGTTGGACATGGACATGCAAAAAGCATCCAAGAACTACTTCACGAAGGTGGGGAAAACGTCGCGTCTTCTGGCGTTAATCTTATCAGGCTGTCAGAAGTAATTCGAAAAGAAGTGATACCATCCATAAACACCTTTCTGTCCACAGCGTTTGACTTTCTTTGCGAACTTGAAGAAAGAACAATGAATTATCGGTCCAAAATGGATCCTGAGGGGGACGCGCCATTGGTAGACATTAAAACTTCTCGATCTGATGCATCGGTCTCGAACTTTCATTCCCATGCTTCTGAAGACAAAGCAAGGACAGAAATGGATAAAATTTCATCGAGCCCGTTGGCTTTTTCTCCAAACAACAACACAGCGGATGGGAGTTTTGTAATTCAAACGATGGAGCAAATTATCGACATCCTTAGCGAGGCCTTTCACAACTCCATGATACCGTTGTTAACGCATATCCCCACAAATCATGATCTTATCAACTGTTATGAGGCGGTGAGGTCGATTTCCGTGTGGAGTGGGGAATCACTTTCTGATAAAATTCCCACAGCAAATATTTTAACAACAAGTAGGGCAAACCCTGCGGGTTTAGGTTTTTCTTCTTTTTCTTCACCCCCACCCAATGTGGGGCGGATTTCTTCGCACGCTTTACGCCAATTCACCGCCGTCTTTCACCATCCCACCATCATCGCGAGGTTTGTTGATTTCACCGACGCGCGGCTGCGCATCAGCCCCGGGGAAAATCCCCAAACCTCCGATTTAT